CTCCCAGTCACACCTCAGTGACACAGGCACACTCTTCCGAGAGGTCAGTTCCCACTCCTTACCTCCTTTTGTTTCCTTTCGGAAAATGTTTGGCTTTTTCATTCTCATCAGCCAGTGACAAATCTATTTCTGTAACTTCTTAGTATTAGCCAAAGATTGTTCTTTTGAAATGTCTACAGTAAGTTATAAAGAATGCCTTTGACCTTTGTTTTCAAATTTAGCTCTGGGTTTCACACTCTGACCTTGATCAGGCAGCACTTCCGGTGTGGTGGTTAGAAAGCCTGACTAGGAGACAGCTGGGTCCTCAGGTGGGCCCAAGGACAGCCCCTCGTTGAGATTCTGCCCCCTTTTCAGACGTTTCAGATACTGTGTTGGTTTTGGATGAGATAATCTGGTCTCCGGGGCCCTGGCAAGCTTCTCTCCCGTCCAAAGACCAGACGGGACCAACCAAGAGACACCTTCAGATTGTACTATGCAGTGGGTCTGGCCAGCCCGCCCCTGCATTACAGCTCACTCCTCCTTGTCCCTTTCCCCCTTTGTCCCCTGTCCCTTCCTTCCCCCCATCACCCCCCCTTCTCTCTTTCCGACCCTCTGACAGGAATTCAGCCTTTACTGAACGGGGACCGTGCCATACTCAGCCTCTCCTTCCAGAGACCATCACTGTCCACCTTCAAGATTCCTTTCAGTTTATACTATAGTCCCCCCATATTTGTAGGGGATTCTTCCAGAGACCCCCACTGGAGGCCTGAAACCATGGGTAATACTGAACCCTATATATGCTGTTTTTTCCTATACGTAGATACCTATGATAAAGTTTATAAATTAAGTGATTGACAAGAATGACTAAATAAAATAGAGCAATTATAATAATACACCGTAGTAAGTTACATGAATGTGGTCTTTCGCTCTCTCAAAATACCTTACTGTACCGTACTCACCCCTCTTCTACTGCTGATGGGAGATAATAAAATACCTACGTGATGAGAGTGACAGCACACACTGTGACGTAGCAGTGGGCCACCACTGACCTGAGGATATGTCAGAAGGCGGATCATCTGCTTCCAGACCAAGGCTAAGCGTGGGTACCAGACCTTGGAAGGTGAAAGCTGATAAGGGGGTACTCCTCTACTTCAGTACCTAATGTGTTCTTCAATGTCCAAGACAGAAACAGCCAAAAAAGCCTACTAGATTTAATATTCTTAATGAAAATTTTCTATATGTCAAAAACCACAAACAAATGTAAAGGCAAACAACAAACTTGGAAAATATTATTTTTTAGACAAATATAGCAACAGAGGCAAATATCCTTAATATCAAAGGGCTTTTTATAAAGTATAGGGCACCAACGAGCGAGAGGGAGGGTGTGAGCAGGTGGATTAATCAAAACAATGAAACACGGTTAATAAGAAAATTTTCCACCTCCTTAACCCTCAAAGCAAGGTAAAATAAAACCATTGGAGATAACATTTTCCCTTATTACCTCTCAGACTAGCATATGAATACCCACTGTTGGGCAGGGGTGTCTCATTTACTTCTAGGAATGCATAATCCAAAAGTACCAATACATTTTGACCTGTCAATTTTACCTCTAAAAGATATCTGGAAGCAATCTTAAAGGTTCCCACAATGTAGAGTTCCAAAAACGCATTTATAATTTTTCCCTCTCTTTCTTGATTGTATACCCAATAATCCTGAGCCTATTTGTTGTATTTATTTAAATTCTCAACACATTACACCAGAACACTATTTTGTATTTTAGTACCTTAATCCAAAATGCAGTTGCTAATGTTCTGAGCCCAGTGACTCTAAGGGTTAACTCCACCCTCCCTAGCCCTGCGACCTATGGAAAGGTTTTTTGCTAGCAGGTGGGTGGGTTGAGTGAGGCTGGCGAGGTGGGCAGGACACTGTGTGGGAGAAGTTAGCAGATAAGCAGCAGGAGGCTCTAGCAAAGTAGTTTGTAGGTTGGGTTACAGGCAACTGGAGCTGTTGTGTCTGGGGTGAGAAGCCCTATATAGGAGGAGATGGGGTAACAGATTGCACCAGAATCCCCGGCTCTGTCCTGCATCACCCACCCTGCTGTGGTGCTGGGCCATCCCAGGCCTTCCTAGGGTGAAGGCCTTTGGTGACTTGGAGGATATCCTGTTACAGAAAAGTTGCCACATCACCTGAACTTCCCCTGAAGTTCACTGAGTTTAAACTTTCTTCCACTGCCCTCCTCAAGTTCCTTGACATGGCCCAGGGCTCTTGGGTGAGCCTCTCCCCAGCAGGACAGCTTCATCCTAGGGGGGCCATGAAGCAGATTGATCCTGGTCACGCATCCCAACAGCCGTTTCCATCACCCGTAACTCAGAACTTTTCCTGCAATACGGGTGCACTGGGATCTGTCCCTGTGGCCAAGCGCAGTCCTCAGCCGTCAATTCCTCTCCAGCACGGGCCTCACTCACCTACAGGCGTCTTGCCACCTTCAAGACCTGTCACCGCTGCCCTTTACTCCCTTGGCTCTCCCCTTGAGGTGCCCCTTTACCTGGCCACATCCCAACCAGCCCACCATCAGTGAGTCCTACACCAACCTGACCCTTCTCTGAACAACTAGCACGTACTGTCTGTGATGTCCATAGGGTCTGACATATTTAAGTATTTTTAATGTCCAAATAGTGTAGAAATAGTTTGTATTCTAAAACTATTCAGGTGATCTTGATGGAGCGAAGTTGCTCGATCTTCCTGTCTTCCACTCCCACACCTGGTAAGTCTGGGGCAGCTGGGGTGTCAGGCCCTTTTCCACGTATTTCCCACCTGGATTCCAGATATGAAAAGGAAAGAACCATCTTTCATCCCACCCAACACCGCTCCTGCCTGCGCCTGTTCTAGGCCCTGCAGCCTTCCCTATGGCCTGTGGCCTCAGCACCATCACCTCCTTACCCAGGGCCTCTGTGTACACACACACACGTGTGCATGCAGGCACACAAATATGCACAGGTGTTTCTTTTCTTGAAAATAACTCTTTCTAGATCCTTCCATGCCTTTGAACTCCCTCTCCTAACAGTCTCCTTCCTTTCAAGCCAACTTCATCGACAAATGGGCTCCCTTCTCTGTACTTTACACCTGCAGCAGCTCAGATCTCAGATCTCTGCCAAATCCCTCCTGAGAGGGCCAGACCCCAGGCAGTCCCTACCGCCTCTTGAGGAGGTGGTGAAAAGGCCAGGGGGGTCTCATACTGTACCTCAACTCCATCTCTGCAGTCACCCTCCAACTTCTGCCTGCTTCTGGCAGCTTTACCTGTCAGGGAGGGAGCACCCAGCTTCAGGGGGTCTACTGGGCTGTGGCTCACCTCAGCACCCCGGCCGTGTTCCGACAACCAGGGTTTCCAGAAACCCCCTGGACCACCTGAGATGGGCACACAGCTCAGTCTTTTAAATACAAAAGCCAGTTGAGAAGGGTTCTTAAGGGTTCTTCAATAGCTCTACACCCTCTGAAGGAGGAGGAATAGAAGACAGGACTTAGGGCTTCCCGCCATTCTCCTAACAGATGACAAAATAAAAGCAAACTTTGAGTTATGAAACATCCCCAAAAAGAACTCTGTTAGTTTCCCATTGCTGCAATTCCAGGTTACCACGAATTCAGCAGCTTGAACAGTGCAGATCTGTTCTCTTACAGTTTGGAAGGTCAGAAGTCTAAAATCAAGGTGTTAGCAGGGCTGTGTTGCTCCCGGACCCTTCAGGGAAGAATCCGTTTTCTTGCCTTTCCTTAGCTTCTGTGGACTGTCTGCATTCCTGGGCTCAGGGTCTCTTCTTCCATCTTCAGAGCACATCCTTTCAAACTCTACTTTCATTGCCACATCTCCTCTCTCTGACTGTGACCCTCCTGCCTTCTTCTAATAAGGGCCCCATGATTACATTGGGCCCAAGATAATTCACAATAATATGCTCTTCAAGATCTTTAAATGAATCACATCTGCAAAGTCCCTTTTACCACATAAGGTAGCATACTCATAGGTTCTGGGGATTGGGACGTGGATGGACATCTTTGGGGACCACTATTCAACCTATCACAAGTATAAAATGTAATACAGAGAGACATTTACATCTACCACTAAGATTAAACAGATGCTATACTTTGACCAATTTTCTTAAGATTTTTTTTTTTAAGAAATAAAGCTTTACAGAATCAGCTAAAGCCCTATGTGGTTTTTCCCCTCTTCTCAGAGGTAACCTCTTCTCTGAGATTCGTAAAAATCATGGCCATGTAGATTTCTGTTCTTTGCTACATATTAGAAGTGCATTTCTAAACAGAACAGTATTATTTTTGTGCGTGTTTTGAAATGTGATGTAAAAAGGGATCACTGGTGTACCATTTTGCAACCTGTTTTTTAAACTGTTTTTGAGATTATTCATGTTGATACATGAAGATCTAGTTCATTCATTTCAACTGCAATATAGAATGCCTCCCATGAGCAAGTGAGAGTTCATTCTGTCCTTTCTTTTGCTAAGAGACAGATTGTTTCCCTTTTTTTTTTTTTTTGCTATTACAAACAGTGTTTCAATACACACCTCTGTACATACTTTCTGGAACACCTGTGCCATAGCCCTGGTGGGAGATACCAGAAGCAGCATGGAAGGGTCTGGAAGGTACACCTTCAGTTTACTGGGCATTGGCACATGGTTCCTTGACAACAGTGTTGAAAAGTACCTACTGCCCCCACATCCTCACCAGTATCTGGTATTTTCAGACTTATAATTAGAAAAAAAATGATTTCCTTACATAGTTTCCAGCCAATCTGTTCTGCTCCCAATTTTTTCTTGAACGTCATGCAGCTGGAACCTTTCCTACCTCTCGACCCTGAATGACAAATCCACCCAGGACCTTCTGTGCTCTGGGTGTTCCAGATGCCATCTCTCTGGATTCCCTGCTGCAGCCACCCTCTGCCCACACCGAGTCTCATTTGCACCAGCCCTAGAAGATCTTTCCCGTGTTGGGTCTGAGGCTCTCTTCTCTCCCGACAGAATGCTGTGGAACATGCAGCAGTTGTCCTGCTGGAAGGGACGAAGTCTTCTGCGTTACTATCCCTCAGCCTGAACAAATGAGGTATATCTAATTCTGAGCATATAAATAAATCTACTCAAGAATTAGTCAGTCCTGGACTCCAAAAAATAAGGAGTATTTTTCCTGTCCCCAAGGTGTTCTGAAACAGACCTGCCAAAGAACTAGAAACCGTATCCTGGAATGTGACAGGGTGGAGGACTAAATCGAGAGACTATAACCTTTCTTCCCAGGGCAGGTTTCCTTTCTTCATCAGCCTGTGGCTTTCAGACACAAAATACCCTTCTGTTCTATGTTTATAAGTGCCCCCCAGCCCTTTTTGATCTAATTAAAGTGGTGGCCCAGCTATCTTGAGCTTCCTCAGCTCAGGGGGCCCTTCTCTGAGTTACCCGGTCCTCAGAATGATCCGTTTCTCCTCCTGCTGCTCCCTAAACAAACTGCAGTGGCAGTGTCCTCCTTGTATCTGTGACAGACCAGAGAGATTTCTCAGCTGTGTGGTTCCAGCCTCATAATCTTTTCAACTTTGAATATTCCTCTCCACTGCATATACCCATTTGGAATATTCCCATATGCCTATCAGCAATGGCTTTGCCCAAGATGTATCCCTGGAAAAGATGGGGCCTGGAGGATTGCGTCCCAAGGGGCCGGTCCCCTGCTTCAAGGGGAAGTCTGAACGCTGCTGGCAGAGGTGCCCATACCTCCTGCTGCAGAACAAGTAGCTGGTGCTGTCTGTCTAGGGATCCTTACACTGCGCATTTCGGCATTTAGCATGAATCCCTCACTCAGTTCTAGGCACAAGATGGATACTTCAGAAGCTATCCCTTTCCCATAAACAAACGGTTTCGGGTTCTAATGCTCAACATGGTGTCCCCTTGTCCGGCCATTCCCAGGATTGAGGGAGGGAGAGGAGGGGTTCATAGGAGCCAGCATGACATGAGGCCCCCTTGGGTCCCAAGGGTCAGCTTGTCATCTGAGGGGTATACAGATCTCCATGTCTGCTGTCTATGAGAAGCAACTTTCCAGAGCATAACTCAGGCCAACAGAGCCCAGGGGGACGCCAGCCCTAACTATCCTCCTCCTGACAGAGACTGCTGGGAGCTCCAAATGCCTGACGGAGGGGCCAGGAGGCAGAGCGACAAGCCAACCACAGAGGAAGTCACCCAGAAACCTAGGGAGTTGGAATCTTCTCAAGTGCTTGTTTAAAAAAAACAAATGTTTCCTAACGGAGCTCAGGGGGAGGTGCTGGGCAGCCACCAAAGCTGGCGTTTGTCAGGGCTTCTGAAGAGGGCCAGGAAGGCCACGGCCACATGCCTGCCTGTGCTGTGGCTCATGTGGCTCCTCTCTCCAGGTTCTGTAGATTTCTTCATTCTCCCTGGCTGGGAAATTTAATCAGCCATGTGAAGTTTTAAAAGGAGTGAAGTTCAAAAATTTTTTTCCTGCAGAACATTTTAAATCCTGTCCCGAACTAAGGGTTCACTTACCTCCCAATTTTACTCGATTAGAAATTAAGATATTATTTCTTCAAGATTTACCTGAATCTAAGTTTTTATTCTTCAGAAATGACATCTCACTAATTAGATTCTTAAATCACTTACCCCATAGTTTCCCTGACGACCCCTCATAATTTTCTGCCACACACTTCTCAGTGGCCGTGGGACAGACCCTTCCAATCTGTAGTGTTGTATGAGGAGCAGATGGGTCGATACGTCCATTCCACTGTGGTGCTTACTACACCGGCTTCATCCTACTGAGGAGTTGGTCAAGCACAGTGACAATCATGATTCTGGCTGTGGTCTGGCTGAGGGTCTACCCCGGTGAGCTGGACTGGCTGACCCCTCGCTCACCATGCGCACGGCTTCTCAACTCTGCACTCACTGCCAGAGTAGCTGAAATCAGCCATGGTGGGAGTATTTACGCTTTGAAAATTGGGGAACACTGCCCATCATGGCTTTTTGTTGGGTGGCGGAGGTGTGGGGGGGGATGTGCTTAGGAAATGTCTGGAGAAATGAGAAACACCGAAAATAGTTACCTGTGGGGAGTGGAACTGGACAGCAAGGGTATTGGAGAAGGTTTTGTTTGTTTTTCGCTCTGAATTTGTTATCATGTGTATAACTATTTTTTTAAAAGAGAGCTTTTTGTCCTTTAAGAACAAAGACTTCCTGCCGTGTTTATTAGTCCTCCATCACTCTCTGGAAGCTGTCTAGTGGAGGAAGAGATCAGAGCCTGGGAGGTGTCATCCTGGTGGCCTCCGTGGAGTGACGTCTGAGTCTAGGGTTGAGGACCAGGCCGAGGCAGAGCCCCGAGGACGCACACTGTGGAGCAGCTGGCGGTCCTTCTAGAACCTCCTGCGCGTCTGAGAGGGGAGCCACAGTAATGCCAGGCTCCCAGCCAAGACGCCAGGCCCAAATCACCAAATCCCAAGGATTAAACAGAAAAATGGGTACAAAGGTAGGAGGACACTAAAAATGCAGCTCTAGAGGAGGATGGGGGGAGACCTGACCCAGGGCACATGTCCCAGGAGGGTAACTTAGATCATGGGGCTGATGGGCAGTTTCTTAGGCTGCCCCTGAGACCATTTCCCCTGCCGTTCAGATGAAAAGGGGCCATCAGCTCTGCCCAGGAGGGAAGGAGGGCAAACTGGGGCAGTGAGGAAACAAGTAGGGACAGGTTCCCACAGCTCCCCTGGGGAGCGGCCACAGTCCACAAGGGCTAGGGAATGAAGCAGGCAGATCCAGCAACCACATTGTACTCCAGAGAGGGCCCCCAGAGGCCCTGGGCAGTGTCTGGGAATGGGGTGAGAGTTCCCCACTGGATTTTGGAGTGGCTTGGAAATTCTGAGCAAAGATAATGGTGGCCCTAGGTGCAGGGATGGGCCTCAGGCAGGAAAATCCATCCAAGATGTAGCAGGGTGCAGGATCTAGAAGGCAGCCCCAGAACAGGCTGCCAGGCCCCCACTGATAGGTGGAGCCTGGGGCAGCACCCCATATCTTCCTGAGGGCCAGGATGTGTGGGGAAGGAGACTCTCCAGGAAACTGAACACGGGGGGGTGGGGGGGGGGGGGGCACACATTTGCCTAGGATGGCCAGGAAGTTGGGGGAGGGCAGTGGGCGGACGGAGTGGGCTGCTCTCCACGGCAACAGCCAAATGCCACAGTATGTGCCCTCCAGGGCCCTCAGACATTTCCAAACTGGGCCTGACAGCAGGGGTAGCTCCTTTTGAAGTCTTGTCAAGTTACAAGGGAGTTGAATATCTTGTCTTACAAACACCCAGGGGTGGTGATGAGCAGCAAGACTAATGGGGCTACTGCTTAGCCCCCTTTCTTTTTAACTTGCTACTAAAGTCCTTCTAGTTTTAGATAAATTAGATGCATATGTCACGTATCACTGACACAGGATATTCCTTATCTCCTTCCATACTGCTGAGACTTGAACAATCATAAAATGCTGAACCTATTGATTAATTATGGTGAGACCCAAGGCCCCATATCAATTACACATAAACTAAGTTTCTGCTGACATTTGCTGTCCACATGTTGCATGTTGAGTTCCCATGGTCATCACTAAATCATAGTATCCAATTCAGCTACTCGGAGGCATATTATTATACAGCTAACTTATGCCCAAAACCTGTCAGGAGGCCAGCAACTCACCATGAGATAACCAGAGGAAGGCCTGATCAGTCTGTCATTCACACAACCAACACTGAAACTTGTGTCTGCTGTGTGTTGCACTGAGCTCCAAGGGCCTGGCCCTCATAGGAGAGGATCTGATCGCAAGCTGACGTAGGTGTTGGAAGAACGTGTTCCTTGCGGGTTGTCAGGCAGAGGCCCTACTTTCTTGTTTGCTGTCAGTTGGCATCTGAGCATCTCGCCCTCTTTCTATGTTGGAGTCCACGACATGGCAGCAGGCTTCTTCAAAGCCAGCAAGGAGGCACCCTAGCAGTACTGTCATAACCATCTTATGTAATCTTATATCCAAATAACATCCACCCCATCACCTTTGACCTATTCTATTGATTACACAGTAAGTCCCTCCCACACAGGTCCCACCCCTCCTGGGGGAGAGAGAGAGGTTACACAAGGGGGAGGTGACCAGGACGAAGGATCACAGGGCTATCTCAGCAACTGTCTGCCCTGGGTCTTCATCACATACTGACCATTGTTAATTGAGCTACTACTCCTTTTGTGTAATTAAAGGTATCACCATTGCACAGACAGATATACTATCTCCCCAAGAAGTTGGTGACATGAGCTTTCTTCCTGCTAAGATTGCTCTCCCTGCCCCCACAGCATCTGCTACAATGCTGGGCACAGGCAAGCAAGTCGATAAATATGAAATGAAATGTCACAGGATTCACATTACTGCTGGAAAGGCCTGGAGTCTTCTACCAGCAAGGTGATTATCAGATTGTCATAATTTCTCAACTGATATATGTAGTTAAACCCCATAAAATAAAACAGCCACACAATTGGAACTAGGTTAGGCATTCCAGTTAAGAATGTGGCCCTTCCCAAGAAAAATATTCTCCTAAGTCAAGTATCTATTATTTTTCCCTACTTTACAGATGAGCTATTACATGAATACCGTTTCCCAGGTCCCCTAGTGCAAGTATCTCGAGGACAGTGTAAAACTGTGGGCTCAGAAGCCAGACAGCCTGGGCTGGCATCAGACTTAGCCCATTATTATATGACCTTGGACAAGCTGAACTTCCAGTAATGATAGCAAATCCATATTAAGTATTTACTGTGTGCCAGGCTCTGTGCATATTTTAAATTCATACAAATCCTTTTAACCCATATAACCATCCTGGGAGGTAGGCACCATTAATGTTCTCGTTTTACAGATGAGAAAACTGAGGGATAATAGTCTGGGCTTAAAAGTCTCAGCTGATCAAGAACAGGGAGAATGAGGGGTAGAAAGTGGACAAGACAACAGAGGACGGGGAACAGCAAATGGGATTTCAGTGCCAGCAGGTTCTTTTCTAATGTGCTCTCCCCACTGCTGACCCTGGCCAGGGAAGACAGGTAGGAATGTGGTTTACCATTTGAACTCTCGTATTGACTATGATCTGAAATACCACTTTTGCCCTCTGAAGGATGTGAGGTGAAGACAGAAGAATGCTGCCATTTCAGGAACTGGACTGCATCCTGCTTTGAGTTGCCCTCACCTCAACATTTTCAGGTGGGTGGGTGGGGCTGCTTACCTGACTGCTGCAGTCAGTATTAGGTTGTAATCCTGGGGCAGGAGTTGTACACACTGAGGGTCTGTCACTACAAGCAGAGGGGACAGGTGTGGGAGGACAGTGGTATTTCAGTGAAAGTTCTCCTCATGCTGAGGAGCTAGTGCCCAGCCAGGACCCTCCCACCAACTTCACAAGGGCTAAGGGCAGGAGTCAGCCTGTGGGCCGGAGGGGGCCCAGCTGTGTGGGGCCTGCTGGGATGGCTTGGGGTTGTTCAGCCTCTGAGAGCAAAGGGTTGAGAGGAGGGGGCCAAGGCACAGGACAAAGCAGGCTCAGCTGACAAAGCGGCACCTGGTGGAACGGCCCTTTCAGAGCATCTGGGCACCCTCATTACAGTTTAGGAAACAAGGTTACAAGAGGAAAGGGGGAAAGGGGCTCTAGCGCCACAGGGAGCCGGCTCTGCGCCTCCGGGGATCTGGTCCTTCCTCACCCCCGTGCTCCGCCACCTCCACCTGCTGATCGTTAGTAGTCGCAGGCAGCCTCCCGGCCGGCTGTGCCGTAGAGGCCCACCAACGATCCGAAACCCACTGAGCCAGACACTCTCTTACTCCAGGACCGCTTCCTTTGACCCGCCCTCCCCGCCCTGAACCCTGGTCTGGAGACCACCCGGTGAGTCTGGCCTCTCTGGTAGAGCTTGGCAAGCCTCACTCAGAAGCAAACACTGCGCTTCCTACACTTTTCCCGCCAACATGGCCGGTTAATAGCGGGGAGGGTCCCCTGGTATTGAAGGCCGCTGGTGCGCAGAGCCCCAGCCGCACGCAGCTCAGCGGGGACAGGACCCGCAGTCCGCATGGGGCACAAGAGGACCCCGTGCCAGCGCTCATTTCCTTCCCTCTCCTCTTCCTTACTGATGGCGGGGAGGAGATTCTGGGAGCACTGAGCAGTCCCCCGCGCTCTGGCGTTTACTGCCCACGAATGCCCCGGTTCTCTGGTGGGGGCGTGAGCGTTCCCGCCCCGCAGCTGCGTGTGCGCGGTGGACACGCGTGCCCTTCCGGCCGTGGCAGGCCCATTGCGCACGCGTGCGTTCCCCTTGGCGGTGGGGTCGGCCAGGCCTCCTACCACCCCGACTGAGCTGCCTGCCTCTTGGGAGAAAAGTGAGATCCTTCTACAACCCGGGGGCAGAGGTGGCCTGGCTTCGGCTCTGCAAACTGCACGCGCCTGACGTCTGCCCCATAAAGTGCGGGGCGCCGAGAGCTCCTTCCGAAGCGCGGAAGCGCGCCGCCGGGTGACAGTCAACTTTCGTACCAATGTGGGATCAGGGGCTGCACGCCTTCAGCGGGGACAGCTGTTGTCTGGAGCGGGCTAGGCTCCGGCGGGGAATCTCGGTGGTCTTGCCATGCTCCAGTTGGGCCCTGGAAAAACCCTGGCGTGCTGAGGAGAGGCGGGCCAACTCACAGGGACGGCGGGAACAAAGGCGGCCCGCGGCCGGATGCAGTCATGGAAAAACCCATCGGGGCGCCCAGGCGGGGGCGGCGCGCGCCGGGCAGCTAAACCGCCCTGGCCGGACGGCCCGGGCGGGGTTGCTTTCGGCCCCTGCCCGGGAGAGCGCCTCGCTGGCGGAGGGGCACTCCCGGGAAAACAAAATGCTGGGCGCAGTGGGAAGCCTGGTGCCTGGGAATCGAGAACCAGAAGTCCCCATGCTCTGGATGCTGCGCGCCACACTGCCTGCGGTGCACACCACACGCAAGGGTGGCCGGGGCTGGTACACACCAGGCACACGCGGCGCCCCACACGGTCACCTGGCGGCTGCGGCAGCCAGTGATGGCCGGCCCATAGAGGGCGCACACAGATCCTGCAATGGCGCAGACGCGCGTTTGGCGATGCACACGCACCTGCACACACATCGCCACTTACACCTCTTGCGCCCAGCCGAGTGAGCTCTCCACAACTCCCAGGGCAGAGGAGAGGAAAGCTTCCGACTGAGGGGACCGAAGTGGGTGCACGTTAGGACTGTGCCCGGAGCTGTTTACAGAACCTCAGAAGCTGGGGGCGGGGTCCTTAGAAGAAGGGGGTTAGGCCCGCTTCTCCCCGTCCCATTTTACAGGTACCGAGACTAGGCCACCTGGCGCCGACACGCCCTGAGTCCGCCCCAGGGCAGGAGTTTCCTGCCGCGCGGTTTGCTGCCTGCCCTGGTCTTGTGAGCCTTGCTGGAGACAGGGAGGCGGCACCGAGTTTTTTTTCTGAAAAGGAAAGTATTGGTGCAACTAGGACCCAGTGACTCTTGAGGCCTTTCCAGTTTTGTCATATTATGTGGAAGGAAGTGGGTCCAAAGGCCATAAATGGAGTTGGTGGGAGCTGAGAGAAAGCTTTGGTGCCTGGTTTGGCCCCGACCAAAGGTTCTTTCTGTTCCAAATGTCCCCCCGGTTTATTTGTGCTGGTGCCTGCTGTGGGGTATCAGGGAGCAAAACCTAAACCCATGGGGTCCCTAGGTGGGAAGGGTCAGAGGAGACCCCAGGCTCTGTCTGAATTGGGAGGCTGCTGGATTGGAGTGGCACGTGCGGGTCCCTGAAGGCCGGAAGGCAAGGAAGCTGGAGCGCAGGACTTCCTAAGTTTCAAGTTCAAGAAGGGGTTGTTTTATGAGCCTGGCTGTTGGGAGTTGTTGCTGGAACACAGCAGCAGGGGACAGAGAGTTGTGGTAAAGGTTCTAGTCACCACTCAAAATACAGGGTCAATAGATTTAGGGACACAAGCAACACGACAGGGTCAAACGAGCTGGCATCTACTTGTCCCCATAGGAA